AGGATGCATTTATTGAAATTACTTTTGACACTGACCTCTGACCTCTGACAGATAGACCCAAATAAAAATCATCAGTGTAATCAAACAGTCAGGTTCTGAGGATGAAAGTAATGTGTCATGAACCACTATACAAACATTTAGAATATCCGAATAGAATTTTACCTCTCAGTATTTACAGAAATGAAATAACATGAACTGTAAAGATAAATGTTTCAGAAATAATATGGAACACAGCATTCAAATATAACTGCTTTCAATGACTAAATGAAGATGACAAGCAATCACTCATCAACAAGGATAAACTTCCCTTTAAAAACAAGAAAACCTGATCAAAAGGGAGCATGTGCCTGACGCTGGCCTGGGTGAGAGTAGGAATGCTGAGCAGAGGGCCGAGTCAGCTATGGGGGGCAGAGTGCCAGAAGATGGTATGTATGCAGTATGGACACATAGAGTGCCTGTTAACAGTGCAAGTAGAGCATGACAGGTTTTCAGCCATGCATCAAGGTCAGTGTAACATAGTCTTAATCACACCTATATAACATAAAACAGTCACATATATAACAAACAAAATATATCAAACAGGAAGATCTTGAAGATTTGAGGTATTATAGCTTTTCCTCCTTTTCTCCATCTTCTCCTTCACCTGTTTCTTGGCGGCCTCCTGATCCTTCTGGAAGAATTCTGTCTCTGCAAATTCATCTAAGGCCATTTTGGGGTTAGAGAGCCCCTCAGCAAAAAATGTTACGTTTGTAAACAAAAATCAGGTAACACTTTACTTAAGGCCATTGCTTTATTAATTCATAAACACATTCATAACAAATAATAATGCATCCATAAAGTATTATTTAAATGGCTATAAATATTTATCAATAGGCATAACAATTTATGGCCATGAGTATTATGCATTATGAATGCACTATAGATACCTTCATAATGCATTGTAATGGTTGGTATAAGCATTAAAGATGCTTTGTACTGTATTATATAGGTATCTACCATGCATTATAGATGAGAGCTTCATAAGGTAGTCCTAATGCATGATGAACATGGCAATGTGTTATGCCTTATATATATATATATATATATATATATATATATATATATATATA